GTCTATCTGGCACTAACCAATTGTTGCTCCCCTGCCTCTGGATTCAGAGCCCTCCCATTCTGCTGAGTGCTGCTTTCTTTCCCTCTCTGCTGAGGTCTGTTGCTCAAAGCAGTCATGTTTGTTAATTTGCTGTTTGAGCCATTCAATAATGAAATCTTTTGTTCTTTCTCCTACTAATGTCTCAGAGTGGGTTACTGAGACCTTAAGTGCCAGTTCATGAGAAAAAGGGTGGGCTACTCTGGATATCTTGAAGCTATTCTGTTCTGTTAATCTCTGCACTTCTGTTGTGTAGCTAGAGAAATTTAGTCTGCAGATTCACAACTGGAAAAAAATTAAACAAATCTTATTTGGAAATAACTAAAACTGGCAGGTTCATCCCTCTAGTCCCAAGACTTTGGATTTGTAATTTGAACTATAAGATACAGTATTTTTTTCCATATTAGCAGTGAATCCGGGCTGCCACCTTTTTTCCTATTAGGCTCCTCATATTTGATGGAGTACGTATATAGCTGGCAGGTAGGACATGGTGGTCCCCATATGGGAAATAGCTATATCTACTGTCCAGTATCCCATTTATCTAGGCTTGCACAGGGAACTATTTTCTATATGCGTAGTTCTTCTGTGGTCACTGCGTATGCAAGAGGTAATTCGCCAACTCCTTGCACAAGCTGAAAACTCAGTTCAAAGCTTCACTGCATGTTGGAGATTGGAAATTCTCCCCCTGCGATCCCATTAACACTCCATTAACACTCCGGAAACAAATAGGACTCTAACAAATAAATCCAGCTGGCGCAAATGAGGTGGGGGTGATTTTGGTTCCGTTTATTTGCAAACAATGCCCTAAAATTCAGACACACACCTTCTTTGGCCTTGAAGTTTTTTTTTTTTAAATGAGGGGCACAGTGAAAAACTGGCAGATTTCCCCATCGCTCGGGACAACATCCTGGTGTGAGTTTCTTGCTTCTGCCAATGAAAAGATCAGAGCCAGAGTGTGACTTACAGGTAGCAGGGGACTCTTAGTTAGTTAAGCCCTTGGCTTACAAATTCTTAAAACAGACACTTGTCTGTTGCTGTTGCTCCCATTTGAAATACTTTTATCTGTGATGATCATTAAAGAGATGATCACCAGTGGCCCAGTAACACTATCTTGCGACTTTGATGCGCCAGGCGATTGTCTAAAGACGTTTCTGATTGCTGTCAGTAGCATAATCAGAGAGAGTGATCTCTGGATTGCTGAATTATTCAGGGTTTTTCTCTGTTAATTCTACAATAACTCTGCTCTAAAGGTTAGAGGATGATTAAGGGTTTAAGTGTCTTTCTCAAGAATAGGCTTAAAAAGCTGTGAGTAGGAAGAAAACAAGCCTCATTTATGTATATTGTTACCGGCTCCTCTTCTAGAGTTCCGGCGCTCTTGCTCATCATCTTAAAATAGTTTACAGTGTCCGGGAATGTGGTGAAGAGAAGGAGCTGGTCCTGATGCATTGTTGACACAACACAAGTGCAAACCAGGTGAATCCTCTGTATGGAGAATAGGTTCTTCATAGGTTTACAGCAAGCAAAGGGAGTTACTTACTTATTCTTGGAGTATTTATTTAATTAAGCTGGTTGGATAGGCCAGTGGTTTAGGCTGCATGACTGAATGGAACATTTTTTTTTATTTTATTAATTTACAGAAAGTGATAGCTAGCTAGATGACTTCTCCCCCTGCCAAAAAAGTAGAAGACAAATTCACAATGGTTACCACATGATGTGATGGCCCGATGTGTCATCTTTCTGGTGTATCTAGATAGCTGGACAGAAGCCTTACCTAGTGATTCATTCAGTATCTGTTTCCATTATTTCATTTACATCCCCGAGGAAAACAAAAAGAACATTCACTTATCTCCATACTGGATCACACCAAAGGCCCATCTAGTCTACCATTGATCTCCCCCAGGGCGACCCTTCTTAAACTCTACAAGCAGGAGATGAAAACAGACACAGCCTACCTTTCTTCCGCCAAATTCAAGCTGATTCAAATGGAAATTCCAGGCAGTTTTTCCATTTGGATGGTGGGCCCCACGAGAGACCTCACTGGTCCATAGCCTGATAATACATCCTCCACCAACACAAGTCCAGGGATCCCCTCATTCTAAGACTTTGGTTGTTATCCTCTTTAGAGCATAAGGACAATCACAATCCTAACTGTCTCCAGATCACTTCGCACAAAAGCCCGTTGGAGCAGGAGTAATGTTTATAGGACCACACAAAACAATAGGATACAAGCTTCTGTATTTTCATTTATTAATATATATTATTAATTTATCAGTGTCATCAAAGCAACCAACATGACTTTGACCCAACTCCGGGAGGCAGCGGAAGACAGGAGGGCCTGGCGTGCTTTGGTCCATGGGGTCACAAAGAGTCGGACACGACTTAACGACTCAACAACAATAACAATATGCCTCGTTTCTCCCCACAGTGGACTGTGCTTCTCTTCTGGAAGGAATTTTTAAAAAAAGTTTCAGGAGAATAGAGTGGTGGTCAAAGCTCTGGGATTTTTGGAACAACAAGAATGAAGGGGAAATCTGCCACCCCCTCAAATATCCCTGTTTCCTCTGAGGTTTGCTGCAGTCAGGGCAGGAATGGGTGTTGGATTTCTTCAGCTGTCCTGCTCTAATATAAAACATTTGGGGATGGCTAGCTTGCGAATGGGCAGTTTAAGACCCATTGGTTTCACAAAGACTTAGATCTGGTGTTGAGAATGCACGTTGTAATGTTTTGTGTTTTCTACTGTATGGCATGGAATGTCATGCTATAAGGAGTGCAAACAAAAGCCCGTGGCTTTAATCAATTTCTTATTTGGTCTTTATCTTTTCCTGCTGCCATCAACCTTTCCAAACATTACTGTCTTTTCCAGATAATCTTGTCTCCTTATGATGTGCCCAAAGTAGGACAACATCAGTTTCATCTTTTTTTGTCTCTGAAGATAGTTCAGGCTTGATGTACTTTAGGACCCACTTATTTGTCTTTCTGGCAGTCTAGAGTATCTGCAAAACTCTTCACCAGCACCATACAGTATTTCAAACAAATCAATTTCTCCTCTGTCAGCTTTCTTTACTGTCCAGCTTTCACCTCATAGGGCTTTCAAAGTAAATGAGATATTTAACGAGCGGTCATACCAGGTTCCACACAGACACACACTGTGAATTTCCATGTTCAAGAGAGAATCTCAGGTCTCCTAAGTCAACATCTGTCACTCTATCCACTACAGTGGACACAGTGAGTAACTGGATCTTAAGATAGGTAAAGGTAAAGGTTCCCCTTGACAATTTTTGTCCAGTCATGTTCGACTCTAGGGGGCGGTGCTCATCCCCGTTTCCAAGCCATAGAGCCAGCATTTTGTCCGAAGACAATCTTCCGCGGTCACATGGCCAGTGCGACTTAGACACGGAACGCTGTTACCTTCCCACCGAAGTGGTTCCTATTTATCTACTTGCATTTGCATGCTTTCGAACCGCTAGGTTGGCGGGAGCTGGGACAAGCGACGGGCGCTCACTCCATCACGTGGATTCGCTCTTACAGCTGAAGATGTACAGACCTTACAGCACAGAGGCTTCTGCGGTTTAACCCGCAGCGCCACCACGTTCCCCCGGATCTTAAGATAGGTTACCATTAAAAAAGATAGACGCAATTTGCCTGCAAATTTGTTTCAAGGTGTTAAAAAAATTGGAGCAAGAGAAAGAAGCAATAAGACAAATCAGTACAGAAGACCGAGAAATCAAGCATAGCATACAGAAAGCTAGAATACTTCAATCACTTAATTAAATTGTTGTTGCTGATGGTTGAAAGAAAAATAAATGGGGAAAAGAAATACAGGAAGCAGATGTTTCCCCCTGAGGAAACAGTTTGGATGCTACATAATATTTATATCTTCCAGAATACTTCATCCAGATTCTGGGAGTTGTAGTCCAAAAAAAATGAACTTTTTCAAGCTCTGTACTTCATCCAGATTCTGGGAGTTGTAGTCCCAAAAAAACAAAACAAAAAAACAACTTTTTAAAGTTCTGCCATCAATTGTTTAACCCCCTCCTCCAAATGTAGCAAGTATGTGAGTAAGACAACAATGCCATCAAGTGGCCACAAATATCCGGAGAACAGAAGCGTGCCATTTTCGTTTTGTGTTTGCAGTAGAATCTCCAGAATTCCCGCTGCTGGCTATTTTGTGTTTTGCATCCAAAATGACAAATCTCAATTTCTCTACTAGACAGAAGGAAGGGGGGCATTTTTATATTACTAGAATTTATTTGCAGGATGAGCTATAGAATGAAGCCATCTAAAGGCCGATAACAGGTAAACGTTTAAAAAGTCAACATTTTAATCTTTTGAAACCGTGTCAAAGTTAACCTTGGTTTGGTTAATAAATCTATTTGTTATGTAAGCACATAAAAAAACAGAGAGCATTCATGTACATGAGTAGGGTTACCTGTTCTCAAGTGACTTCTGGGGTCTCAGAGAATTGTGAGGCTTCTGTGGGTCTCTAGGCTGGGTGATGAATTTAGGGCAAGTGGAATCGGAGGGGAAAGTTTGATTCTTGTGCACCCGTTGTCTTTAGTTCCTGGAACCCCATTTCTACCCCTTAGCAGCTGGCACCCTTGGGTTCATTGATGAAGCAAGAAAGTGTGTTGCTCCAAACGGCATAATGGGTCATTCGTCCACCAGGTCAGTTCTCCTGTCACGTCTGGCTTTTTATTATGCTGACACTGAACCTGTCATGCCATTGGGAGCAAGGCAAGGAGTGGAGCACTGGGGTCACAACTTACGAGCCTTCTTGCTACGCATACCAGGGCAGCAGCAGCAGCAGCAGGCTTACCTCCTAAGTCTTGCCTGCCCACCCTCTGTGATATCACCAGGGTCCACCCCTTGGTCTCATGTTTTGGCTCTCAGAGGTCAGAGAACACTGACCTGGCATGCACACACATGAGCAAAGACTCATTCCAGAATTAGTGAATGATGGAAGTTGTTTATATTTGCGAATGGACAATATTATCTTGTGTCACTACTGTATAGTAAGTTACAAAGCTGGTTGTGCAAGGCAATGACCCATTTAAACATTTGCATTAAAGACATCTGCTTAAACAAACAAACAAAAAATCAATGTGATTTTTCCTGTTGTCTGTCATTTAATTGGAAGAGTGTTGGTTATTTCTCAATCTAGAGCTCTCCTTGAACTCACATTTAGAGGGTATACGTAAGAGCATTTCTTGCGAAGGAAACAGCAAAGTTCTTCGATTCCAACTTTCTCTCTTCTTGATGTTAAGCATTTTTAAATTGCGAATTTACAATGCTAGATGGTAACAAAGATCCAGCAGCACAGTTGAGAATTAACAGAGTTCATTAAACAAGAAGAAACAAAGTACTGGCGATGGTCAATGCAATAAGAAAGAGCGTTTGGCAATACGAGGTGGCTGGTAGTCCCCTGGATTCCTTTAAGGATTCAGCAAGGCTGTGAACTCTAGAAAAAAAAAAGCAAAGCCCAGATTTCAAAGTTTTATCAATTTCATTATCTCATGATCATCCTTATGTTTAGCTTTTCAAATATTCTTTCTGGTTTAATATTATAATACTGTAACTGGCTTCATGACCCGGCAAAAACAAAATAAAAATAAAATAAAGAAGACAAGGACGTTGTGGCACCTTTAAGACTAACAGCTATATTTTAATGTAAGCTTTCATAGACACGGAGAAAGTGGCTTCATTATATTTTAGTATTTTCTACTGTCTTGTGTATTTATTTGTACTTCTTGTTTAGCTATTTGGCAGGTTGCCTTTGAGAGAAAAGTTGTCTTTTTTTTTTTTTTCTTTTTCCTTTTGGCTTGGTCAGAAAGACGCGTGGGATTTACCTGGATTTGCATCCAAACTTCAGTTTAAAAACGCCACTTCTCTCCTCTTTAAGAAAAACCACTTCTTTTAAAAAATATATAATCATTTAAACAAATAATAATTTTAAAAGCCCTGTTCTCTAATAAAGTCCCCTGCTGAAAGTTCCCCCACTTCCAAGTTTTAACCGAAAACATCTGATTGGGAGACCCTCAATGGACATTAGTTTATCTATTTATTTATTACATTTCTGTGCCACTTTTCTCCCAACAGTAAGACACAAGGCAGCTCACAAATCTCAGCGAGAATTAAAACAATATACCCTTAAAATCATCCTATAAAACACAGATAAATAGAAAAACATTTAAAAACACATGAAAGGTGTATATTAGCAACAACTGCAGGACAAATAACTATGTTAAATGGGATACACTAAATGAGATACAGTGGTGCCTCGCTTAACAGGCGCCCCGTTTAACGACGGAATCGCATACTGACGAACTTTTTGCGATCGCTTTTGCAATCGCATTGCAATGTTTTAAATGGTGAAAATCGTTTTGCGATGATCGGTACCATTTCGCTTACCGATCATTGCAAAGCGATGATTTTCTAACAGCTGATCAGCGGTTCCAAAATGGCCACCAGGTTAAAAAATGGCCGCCCGCTGTGTTTTCGCGCGATTTCCTCGCTTACCGGGCAGCGAAAATGGTGGCCGTATGGAGGATTTTCGTTTTAAGGTTGAGTTTTAAGCCCATAGGAACGCATTGAATGGGTTTCAATGCATTCCTATGGGCTTTTTAAAACCGCATAGCAACGAAATTGCTTTGCAGCAATTTTTGCTGCACGGATTATCGTCGCTATGCAGGGCACCACTGTATTAAACACCAAAAGGCTGTTGGAATAAAAATGTTTTCATTTGACACTGAAAAGAGAGGGGCAACCTAGCCTCACCAGGAGGGGTAGTGTATAATCTGTGGGCAATCACTTTTTTTTTTCAAGTGATGCTTTCGGCTTTTATTTAGTTAAATGCAGCATTCTATACAAGAAAAAAAATGAAATTTCAAACCCTGACAGGGAACTATAGTTCTTCCTAAATCAACCAGAATTAAAAGATTTCTCCCTCAAATACACTGTACTGTATGGAAAATAATCTCTCCCCACCCTGCCCGCCCACCTGAACAGCGTGCCACGCAGTACGGTTGTGTATCTCAAACTTCAGAACTGTACAATTTGTTTACAAATCATGTTTTTTTCCTTTGAAAAATTACAGAAAAAAATATTGGCACTTATTTTATTTGTAACAAAAAATTAGATGTATTCGCGAAGGCTTTCACAGCCGGGATCTAATGTTGTTGTGGGCTTTTCGGGCTCTTTGGCCGTGTTCTGAAGTTGTTCTTGAGACTGGAGTAGGAACTCTGTCCATGCTCTGTTGGTGCTTGTTGGATAGTATTTATAGCTGTGGGAATGGCTTTTTGTCTTTTTTCAGGAGATAGGGTGATTAGCATGTTTTTGTTTTGATGGGAGGGAGAGGGAGAGATTATCTGTCACTGTAGTTGATGGGTGTTGCTAGCTGGTCTTTTTTTGTTGTGAAATGGTCTCTGGACCTAGTAGCTAAAAGTTCATTGACCTTTTGCAGGTTGTATGTTTCAGAATGGGGTGCCAGGTCGGGTTTAGTTTCAGGCATTCTTCTTTCCTGTTGAAGTTTTGTTTATGTTTTTGGATTTCAATGGCTTCCCTGTGCAGTCTAACATACAGATTGCTGGTGTTGTCCAGTACTTCAGTATTTTGAAATAGAATTTCATGTCCAGCTTGTTT